CGCTTGCTCGTGCCAGCCCTGCCGCGCAGCCGCTGCTACACAGAAGGCACGGCCGCTGCTGGTATTCGTTCGCTGGGATACCCGCAAGTCTGTCCCACAAATTACAGCTGGTGGTTACTTTCGAACAAGATTCGCACCCACGTCGATTTACTGTATCGTATACACTGCTCCTCCTGAGCTTCGCGGCGACGTCGTCGGGGGCGGAAAGTACATCTCGCGACTGAGCCAGGCACGCACTGCGGCCCCGTGGAAAGTTCCAGGCGGCATGCCTGTTTGCGACTCTCGTTCGTGGCCACTGGAACAGCGCGCGGGGATCGTCAAAGAGATCGGAGCCATCTTGGGCCACGATCCCTACCAAGGCCTTCCCGCCCTTTGCCCCTAAGGACGAGAAGGAGGAGGAGGAGGAGGAGGAGGAGGGGGGCTCAAAATGTTGGTATGGGTTCGTCTTGGAGGCCCCTCGTGGCCCGTTTGGGGGACCGCTTGGGTCCGTCGTGGAGGCTGCCTTGGGGCGATGTTTGGGGCCCCTGTGGCCGCCTTGGACGCCCCAAAAGAGGATCATTCTGAAATCATGTACTCCGGATTCCGTAAGAAAGGGAAGGGGGTCTCATTTCGGGGGGGGGGGTCTCTTCCAGGCTATCTTGGAGGGCCTGGGGAGGTCTGGGGACGGTGTTTTGGAGGGTTCTTCCACGGGGGAGGTCTGAAATGGCTTGTCTTGGAGGGTCCAGACCCCCTCCCTTTTATTACGAAATCTGGAGTAGCAATCCACGGTGTTCCAATAATTTCGGTCAGGACCTCCAACACAGCCCCAGAGGCCCCCAAGAGGGCTTCAGGACGGCCACCTACCGCCGTCTTGGGGCATGTCGGAGGGTGAAGCCTCTAACCACAATCCAGAGGCCTTTGGAAGAGTAGCGCGGGGGAAGGAGGAGCGCCCAGAAAGTTCGACAATTAGGGGCCTCGGGACCAGAGGACACTCCACCCAGTGCCGACGGCACGGTCGCAGATATGCCAGTTCTTTGCCGCACATCGCAGTGGCGATTGCGACTTGCGCTTGTTTGTGGTTCAAAAGTGGGAGTGGGATTTGTAGATGAGTGATAGCTGCTTGAAATGTATTGGTCGGTCGTTCCTAGTTCGTTCTCTAGGCGCATTACTATCTTGACTCGGAGCCTTCAGACGCACTTTGCCTGCCGGTTTCGGAGTCAAGTATGTTATCGGATGTTGGGGGGTGAGATCGCAGTGGAACGGAGACCCCCAGACGGGAATTCGTTTCGTTCCGTTCGTGTCGTGCGTGCGGGCGAGGCGAAGCTGGGTGGGCGCGCGAGAGGAATGAACCCGCCGTTGCTAGGGTGAAGTCAAGACAAATGCTTCTCCTCCGTCAGTCCGTCCGGCGGTGGCCCTAGCGGTGTCCCGTGGTGTTCCGTGGTGTCCCGTTGAGTGAGATCGATAGTGAGATCGATAGTGAGATCGATGTGGTGTCCCGAGGTGTCCCGTGGTGTCCCGTGGTGTCCTATGGCAGGGGTCATTCCGATTCCGCCGGTTCGATTCGAATCGATTTCCGCGATTCCGATTTCGAACCGACTCGATTCCAGGATTCCGATTCGCGATTCCGATTTCGAGGTCGCCCGATCCGGCTTCTGCCGATTCGATGCGTCAGCCGATTCCTGCCGGCTTTTGTCGATCCCGGCTCTGGCCCCGGAGTAGGAGGGAGGAGGAACCCCCAGGGGGGAACCCAAAAAACCCAAACCCCCCCCAGGGGGGTGTTTCCAAAAGCCCCCGGACCCCAAACCCCCCCCAGAGGGGCATTTTCCAAAAGCCCCCGAACCCCAAACCCCCCCCAGGGGGTGGTCCAAAAACCCAAACCCCCCCCAGAGGGGGTTCCAAACCCCCCCCCCCCCAAGGGGGGGAGTCCAAATACCCAAACCCCCCCCAGGGGGGGTCCAAAACCCACCCACCCCCCCGGGGGGGGGTCCAATTTCGATTCCGATCCGGCTTGACGCGGTCCGGTTTCCGACTCGATCCGGCTCGGACCTGCCGACCTCTGCCGATTCCGATTTGGCTGCTGGCTTTTGCCGATTTCTGCCGATTCGATGCTCCGGTCGACCCGATCCGGCTTGTCGATTCGATGCTGGGGCCGCCTGCCTATGGTGTCCCGCTGAGTGAGATCGATAGTGAGACCGATAGTGAGATCGAGAGGTGTCCCGCGGTGTCCCGCGGTGGCCCGTGGTGGCCCGTGGTGTCCCGTTGAGCGAGATCGATAGTGAGATCGATAGTGAGATCGACAAACGCCCCGTGGTGTCCCGTTGAGTGAGATCGATAGTGAGATCGATTGAGTCAGATGTTGGTTCCCCCCCTCTCCCCCCCCACAACCTCCTTATCACCCGAAGGGTGGTCGTATATGTATGCGTGTCCATTTCTCTGGTCATCGACAGGTTCTTAAAGGCTCATGCCCCCGCAGAATCCACCGCGTCATCTTATGTTCGTACCTCCACGCTGTTTGCAAGGAAATCACTTAGTAACATACTTGTCCCCGAAATGGGGACTGGAGGATACTTTACAGCATTCCATTGGTCTATCCATTCGGTTGACGCCCGTTCCGCTGGCCTTGAGATATGCTTGAGACTGCGTTTGGACCCCGCAGGAGTCGATTGACGAAGATGGAAAAGTGCACGGGATGAAAAAAACAGGACGAGAAGGAGGGGGAGGAGAGCCAGATGGAGAGGGAAACGGGAGCGAGAGAAAGAGAAGGAGGGAGATACAGTCAGGTACGTTAGCTTAGCGTGTCGCGCCGCCGGTTCAGGCCCACCACGCCTCGGCGCGACACGCTAAGTACGTCCCAGTCTCCGAGCATCAACGGTCCGAGCTTCTCCCAGTCCCCCGCCCCACCGCCCCACGGAGCGGAGCGACACGCTGTCCGCTCGCAGGGCATAGCGTGTCGCTGGGGCGCCGCCGCGACGCGCTAAGCAAAAGTTCCCGACCGTAGTAAGGATGGGAGGGTTGTGCAATGACTCTGTGGGCAGTTCGGGGAATTCTTGGGCTGTATGTAGTCTCTCGGGAATGGGGCACTCTACATCAGGCATTTTGAGGTCTTGAGGCCCTGCACGGCACTTCTAGGGTCATCCCAGGCCGAAAAGCATGAAAGCAAAATACAAGCACTTCAGGTGGTCCTACGATTTCGACCCGCAACATGCAAGCGATAAGTGGGAAAGAGGAATTGCGAGTCCGAGCGAAACGTGCAGCGGCCAGAAAGCGATGACACGGTCAACTCAGAGCCAGCTGAAGCGCGAGAGCCAACGGCTAAGCACACACACACACGCGCGAGGGAAAGGGCGAGGCACGGAGAGAGGGAGGAGCCAGCCGAGGAGAGAGGCGAGCGGGGGAGAAGGAGGTGCCACGGGGCGGCCCAGCGAGGCGGACCCCTGGCGGGAGGCCGCGCCCGGGCGCCCTCGCGGGGCCAGGACATCCTCGGGAGGCCGTGCCCCGGGCTTGTTCTCGGGAGGGGGGCGGGGGGCCGAGCGGCGAGAAGCGGGCGACGACGGCCAGGGGAGGGGAGGGAGGAGAGGAGGACGGGAGAGAGAGGCCCCCCGCCGCCGAGGGCGGTGGAGCAGAGCGCTCGCAGCCTCTCGACATCCCACGGGAGGGCGAGCGCCTCTGGGGGCGGGGGGGGCGGCACGGGGAGGAAGGGACGACGACGGCGGGAGACGAGAGGGAGGAGGCAGGACGGGAGGGGTCGTGCGGAAGAGCACACGCACGCACGCTGCAAGTAAGGCAAGCGGACCCGGCGCAGGGACCCGTAAGCGGGCCAGGCACGCGTGCGGAAGAGCGCGCTCGCATCATGTGATCACGGGGAGAGGGGGGGGGGGAGACCCACCAGGCAGGAACGGAGGGACAGGCAGGGGCAAAGCGGATGTGGGGCGGCATTTTGCCGCCAAACCGGGCTCGCTGAAAGAGAGCGGCATTTCATGGGCCATGCCGCGCGGCCATAGAAAGAGCGCGCTCGCGCCACATGACACCGGGGAGAGAAGGAAAGCGGGGAGAGAGGGACGAGGAGGATGGGAGAGAACGTGCTCCACCCGTGCTACAAATCTGGCATGAGAACGGGGAGGCTCACCTCTTCCAGGGAGCTAACACCGAGCGAACCTACATCGAGACCGTTTCCCGCACGTTGAACGGATCATGCACGCTGCACACGACGAGACATGCCAGGACACAACGCGTGTGCAGCAACATGGGTGCTTAGCACGGCCCCCTTGTGGAGCCTCAGA